AGGCAAAATATTTGTGGAACAAAATACCTCCCATCTATATCCTCCTTTAGTATTGCCCTTGATAAATACATTAATAAAAATATTTGTTAATATTTGTTTTTCATCATTAAAAAAACCAAGCTTATTTAAATAAAAAATGCTCTTCTGCTTATTGACATCAAAACGAATTTGGTAATTTTAAGAAGAACTTTATGTACATTACATTTAAAATAGTTTTATCATGCACGAATTCAAGAAATAATAAATAATCAAGTGAACAATAATAGTAAACGAATTTATATTTAACTTCGATTATATTATTATCGACGTCTTGAGCTGTTATGCACCGCCCAGCTTGCCGATCGCCGGACTCCTCAAGCCCGTCTCCTCCTGCCTGCGGGTCTGGAGGCTCGGGCAGCCGCGGGAAGATAATGGCCGGGGATTTTAATGCTCACTCCCCGGTCTGGGGGTCGGCGGACACGGATCAGCGCGGCGAAGACCTGTTGGACCTGATGTCGGCTCTCGGGCTGGTGTCGGCCAACAAGGGCTCCACCCCGACGTTCGAGGGTCACTCCTCGAGCTAGGTAGTGAACGTCACGCTGGTGTCCCCGTCGCTGCACCCGCACGTGTCCGGTTGGTCGGTTCTCCCGCATAGGAAAAACGTCAGCGACCACCGGTAAATCGTGTACGAGTGCGGCGATGGCATCCGACCACCCCGAATCGTGCCCTGCGAGCAGTGTCGCGGTGGGCGAGTGGGCTGGCGGGTTGGGTTGGATTGGCACAACCGGCCACGGACGTTGACGCATTCGAGACGGGTTTACTGCTCGCTCAATGGCGCCCGCTGTACCAGACCGAAACGTCTCCGGAAAGAAGCGGCGGAGGAGTTGGACTGGAGAGTGGTCGCGGACGGTGACGACGTGTCGGTGGTGGAATTCACCAGCCAAGAGGTAGCTGACACTACCTGACAACCCGGATTGGATACGCGCCATCGCGAACCACTGCCTTTCGGAGGGTGATTTCCGCACAAAGTGGAAGAAGGCCAGGCTGGTGCTTCTGAGGAAGGGTGACAAGCTCGAGGGTCTCCCCTCGTCGTAACGACCGTTTTGCATGTTGGACGACTTGGGGAAGATCCTTGAGCGGCTGCTCATCACCCAGATCGAAGCCCACCTGGCCGTCGTCGGCGGACTGGCCAGTATGGTTTCAGGAGGGGGAGGTCGATGGTCGATGGCCTCTCTCTTCAGGGACTTGGCCCTCAGGGCCAAAACTGAGCAGGGCTTCGGGGTGGCGGTGAGCCTGGACACCCGAAACACCTTCAACTTCGTGCGATGGTCATACATCCTCGGAGCGCTGGATGCGTTTTGGGTGCCTCCTTATCTCGGGCGGATGATCCGGTCGTACTTTAGCGATCGGGTCATCTCTTACGAGAGCGCCGCGGGCCCGAGAATCAGACCTGTTACGAGAGGCGTCCCGCAAGGGTCAGTTCTCGGGCCTCTGCTGTGGAACATAGCGTACGACGCGGTGTTCCGCGTTCCGCTACCACCGCACGTGCGTGTCGTCTGCTAAGCGGACGACACATACTGGTGGTGGCGGAAGGTGCCTCGTCCGAGGAGGCTGGATCTCATGCGATCTGCGCGCTCAGCGCAGTCACCGCCTGGATCCAGCAGGAGGGGAGTGGACTGAGCATCGCCCTGGACCAAAAGCGGTCTTGTTCACGGGCAGGTACAAGTTTACTCCTCCACGGCTCGCCATGCTGGTGGTGGAGATCCCGCTTAAGGACTCCATGACTTATCTGGGAATTGTCATAGACAAACGTCTAAAGTTCGGGCCGCACATTACTCGTGCGGCCCAGCGGGCCCAGAAAGTCATGAATTGCCTGGCGGGACTCATGCCCAATCTGGGAGGTCCGAGAGAGATGCGGCGCAGACTTTTAGTCGGTATACTCGGTTCTCCTGTACGGGTTCCCGGTTTAGGCGGATACTCTTGAGTATTCTTCCAAAAACCGTGAAGCCCTGCTCAGAGTGCAGAGGCGGGCGGTGATCAGGACAGTTTCGGCGTAACGAACGTTGTCCGGAGTGGCGGTGGGTATCCTGTCGTCACTGCCTCCCACTGATCTGCTCGCCAAGGAACGCGCCGCCGGGCATGAGCTCCGCCGAGAACGCAACCGGTCCCTTGAACCCGAGGACCGGCTAGCGCTCAGACGGATGACCATGCTCCGGTGACGGACTCGCCTCTTGGAGGAAACGAGAGGCGAGTGGACCAGGTTCCTCATTGGACCCGATCGGCTGGACAAGTGGGTGGACCGGACTCACGGTGAGATGACTTATCGTCTCACCCAAGTGATGTCCGGTCACGGCTGCTTTAACGAGTACTTACACCGTATTCGTAAAGCAGTTGCGCCGACGTGCGACCACTGTTCGGATCGCCTTAGGTCCTCCTGTACCGGGCGGCGCGGCTGCCTCTGTCTCAGGCGTTCAGCTTCCTCCTTCTTTTTCAAGATGGATTCGGCGAACACCTGGACGAACCTCCACGCCTCCCGGCTCCTCAACATCAGGTCCACCATGGACCCGACTCAGAACGTGGACCCTAGTTGAGACTCCAAAGAGTCCCGTTCCTGGGCCCACGCCTCGCACCGGAAGAGGGTGTGCAAAGCGCTATCAGCCTCTCCCGGGCGATCCGAACAGTCGGGAAGAGCGTGTCTACCGCCCTTTCCAGCACTTCCGCCTCCAGCTGACTGGAAGCCGGTGAACCGCGGAGCTTCCGCATAACGACCCGGTAGGGTTTCCCCCACGGGTCGTGGTCCACCGACTTCACGAGTTCGGCCCAGCACTTCGCTTTGGCCCGCCTGATGGCGAGCTTCAGCTCTTTGCGGGCCGACCTCAACTTCACTGGTTGCGTTGCCATAATTCTCCGTTTCACCCAAACGCTACCGCTTATTTGTCCATAAAGGCTTATTTCAAGGCTACTCTGTATATCTACAGGATTAACAAGCGTGTCGGTGGCTCGCTGTCTATGACCGCTTATTCGTCAGTCCAAATTAATGGACTGCTTATGTTCGCACTATAATAATGATGGTCGCCGACCAATATATGAAGTAGTTATGTTCGATCTACATACGTACGCGGACAAATCGCCAGCTTACAAGTAAATTATAATAAAACGACACAGTCCACTATTTTTAATATTCGTATTTATTAATTATTTATTTATTTATTATACATATTGAACCAGCTCGAAACATTTGGTCCTTCGGACCGGATCGATTAATTAGTATATAATTTGATTTTGTAAGTTTTGTCATCGCCGTGCTCATCATCGTACGTTTTTCAATTAAGTGCGTTAGTGTACCGTCTTAAGTGCGTTTCGTATTTTTTATTACTTTATTTATCGTATAGTTTGTCATTCACAATTAGTTCGAGATTCGTAAAAGAATAGACTCGCTAGTTCTAATTTTCATCTCGTTCTATTTCTGGTGATACGGTAAAAACGCCCATAACTCGAGTAACGTGTGCTATAATAGGAACATTCACTCGGTACACTCGGAATTGAATGCAATAGAGCGCTATTGTAATCGCGTAATACAATTGACTATCTGAATAGATATCAACGTTATGGTACAGCTAAGCATTCGTCGTGGTCAGTTCAAATGCCAACTATCACGATTTGTATTATTTGTTGAGAGAAAGAGTGGAGAAAAAAATATTGACGCCAGTCAAATCATACTTCGACGAGATAAAATATTGGAGGTGGGGCAAGATAATGAATTGGTACAAGCAGAAATAGAAGAACTTACGGGGATACGGAAGAAACGGAAAAGTATAGAGAGGAGATGGAAAATATTTATTTTGGAGTCTTAGCCGAATTTGATAAACTTATAAAGAAACTATGTTCAACTAATAATATCAGCATTAATGATAGTTCCGTTCAAAATATTCAATCTATTTCTTATAAACCCAATACTATAAATAGTCAATTCGGTTCTTCTATAATCAAATTACCACCAATCGATCTACTTAAATTTTCAGGAGATTATTCTGAGTGGCAATCATATTATGATATGTTTTCCACAGCGATCAAAGAGAATAACAATCTCAATAATATGCAAAAATTTTTTATTTACGATCTTCATTAAGCGGAGAAGTTGCTAAGGTAATACAGTGTTTACCTACCACCAAGTATCAGCGATTATTAAATCTCGCGTGTCAAATTTTAAGATAAACTTGAACTTTTTAACACTTCCCAAGCAGACCAGTTTCTTACCACGTCAGATATTATTTTGGCCGATCCGCCGTTGGGCACACCACAAACGATAGATATGTTGATTGGAGCTGAAATTTTCTTTGACTTAATGTATTCCGATTAAATAAAGACGGTTGAAAATGGTCATGTTATATAAAAGACTGAGTTCGGTTGGGTCGTGTCCGGTCCTATCTCAGCAAGCCTCACTACATCTATGTTCGCCACTACTGTATTACCACACCAACAAGATGTAGTTGAAAATGATATAAACGCCCGAATTAATTTAGTTGACCAGATAGCGAAATTTTGTCTATTATAAGAGGTCAAAACTAAAAACATTTTAAGTTTAGATGAAAAGGCGTGCCAGTTGCATTTTGAAAATAATACCAAACGGAACGAAAAAGGTGATCATTATCCGGAAGCTTGTAGAGCGTTGCATGGAGATTTTTATATGGATGACCTCCTAAGTGGTTCAGATACTTTAAAAAAGGCGGTCAAGTTAAGAGATAATTTAATATCAATCATGGAGAGTGCTGGTTTCAAGTTGAAACAATGGTGTAGCAATGAACCACTATTGTTAAGAAAATTACCTTTATATTTAAGGAAAGTTGATGACGATGTAAAAGAGCCTAATAAAAATATTACTACAATCCTTGGATTATATTGGAATCACGTGAAAGATTGCTATCAATACAATATAAAACCAATAAAAATATCTGGTCGATTCACAAAAAGACTAGTTCGATCCACTTGGATTAATCGCTCCAGTAATAATTAGGTTCAAGATGATTATGCAACAGTTATGGTTGCAACAAATAAACTGGGATGACGTTTTACCTATTCCATTACAACAAGATTGGTCAAAAATGCGTGTGGAAATGGAGCAAATTAATAATATTAAAATCAATCGTCTTGTTCTCGGCATCGAAAAAATTAAAAAACTAGAATTACACGCGTTCGCTGACGCAAGTATGCAAGCCTATGGTGCTTGTATGTACACACGCGCTACAGACATTTATGGTAAAGTATTAATAAATTTATTGTGTGCCAAATCAAGAGTCGCGCCTTTAAAGGTAGTTTCGTTACCTCGGCTCGAACTGTTAGCTGCGCTTTTGGCCGCTCGCTTTATGTCAAAATATGCACCAAAATTACAGTTACCTATAAATGAATATTTTTATTGGACAGATTCGAGACTGATATTAAATTGGTTATTATCTCCATCGTCTCGTTGGAAAACTTTTGTAGGAAACAGAGTAAGTGAAATACAAGAGTTAACGTCTGTTTCACAATGGAGGCATGTTGCGTCCAGCGACAATCCAGCGGACATAGTGTCAAGAGGCTGTTTTCCATCACAAATGAAAGGTTTAGATTTATGGTGGAACGGACCTATTTGGTTGAAAGGGGAACATACTCAATGGCCAAGTAACTTTCAAGAACTTACTTCTAAAAGTGAATATTTGTCTGAAGAAAAACTAATTACTAATTTATTCTTAACAACGGAAAATAATTCTTTTAATCAAATTTTTAAATTATTTTCTTCATTAAGTAAACTTTTACGTGTTTTGGCTTATTGTCTTCGTGTGAAGTCTAATTTTTTATCGAGTGACACTAATATTTATGGTCCTGTTGAAGCTACAGAAATTGAAAATGCCCTTAAACGATTAGTGAAGGAAGCGCAACAAGAAGAATTTTTTACTGAGTTGTGTGACTTAAAAAACTCAAAATTAGTGTCCAGTAAAAGTAAACTTTTTCGTCTTAAACCATTTCTAGACAACGATGGTATAATCAGGGTAGGCGGTAGATTAAAACATGCCGTCTCACTATCATTTTTTCAAAAACATCCGATAGTGTTACCCGCTGATAGTGCTTTTACAAAATTATTATTTCTGGATGAACACGAAAAATCATTACACGCCGGTCCACAAGCGATGTTAGCTAATATACGTTTGAGATATTGGCCGATTAATGGACGTAATATAGCCAGAATTATATCTAGAAAATGTGTCAAATGTTTCAAATACAAACCGGTTGTATTTGAGCCCATCATGGGTGACTTACCTAACGACCGAGTCGAACCAGCGCGAGCCTTTGTTAAATGTGGCGTAGATTTTGCTGGTCCAGTATTTGTGCGGTCTAGTTAGCGAGGAAACGCGCCTAAGACTAAAACGTATATCAGTATTTAGGTTTGTCTTGTCACAAAGGCTATTCATATAGAATTAGTAGGCGATTTGACAGCGGAGTCTTTCCTTAATGCGTTACGGATATTCTGTGATAGACGTGGTTATTGTACGGACGTGTATTCAGATAACGGAAAAAACTTTGTTGCGGTTAATCGACAACTTCGAGAAGTGCATGAACTTTTAGCTAAACCAGAAGTTAAAAATGAATTGAGTAATAAAGGAATTCAATGGTATTTTATTCCGGCCCGTGTCCTCACTTTGGCAGATTATGGGAGTCGTCTGTTAAATCTGTTAAGGCACATTTGCTCAAATCGATTGGTAATGCTCTGTTTAACTATGAAGAGTTATATGCAATACTTGTTCGAGTAGAAGCCATATTAAATTCGTGACCGTTGACACCTTTATCCACGGATCCAAGTGACTTATCGGTTTTAACACCTGGTCATTTTTTGATAGGTGACTCGCTATCCGCTTTTCCTGAACGTGACGTAACGAATATTATGGAGAACAGACTAACTCGCTGGAGGCGTGTTGTTCAAATTACGCAAAAAATATGGATTAGNAAGGTGTGTTGTTAAAATTACTCAAAAAATATGGATTAGATGAAAAACGAGTATCTCAATCATTTACAAGAGCGAAAAAAATGGTCACAATCAAATGGTCCTGGTTTGGAGAAAAACACTGTAGTTCTCATGCGTGATGAAAACTTGCCCCCTTTAAAATGATCAATTGGAAGAATAATGGAAGTTTATAGTGGTTCTGACGGTGTCGTACGAGTGGCTACTATCCGTGCAGCAACCGGTGTATACAAACGAGCTGTTCGTTAATTATGTCCATTGCCTTTCAAGGGAAATTGTACAGCAAGTTCAAATAATTAAAAGTGTTTAAAATGTATGTTTAGTAAATTATGTTAAAATGCTTATGATTTGAAAAAAAAAACCCAACCAAACCCAACAATAATATCTAGTCTAAATATTGTGATATAAATTGTTGTTGTTTTTTTTTATGTATGTAATGTATTAATTATTATTTGTGTCTCTATTATAAAATATGTTCATTGTTAAAGTGTCCTGCAGTTAATGTTTGTTGCTAAATTTAGTTACCATAATTTTTATTATTTATTTATATATTAATTTAATTATTTGTAATTTATTTAAAGCATGATATGTTAGTTCTAAGTTATAATTATTTGTTATTTATTTGAGAATGTTTTACAGAATTATTGTTTATATTTTTTGCCATGAATGTGGGTCAAATGTTTGTCATAATCTTATTATTTTTATGTACTTTATATTGATTCTATTGAAATGTGTTATTTCAAGGTAAGCGATGTGTTCGCGCTCGTTATCGCGCTATTAAGAGATATCTATAATAATGATTGTCGCCGACCAATATATGAAGTAGTTATGTTGTTCTACGTACGCGCGCGGACAAATCGCCAGCTTACAAGTAAATTATAATAAAACGATACAGTCCACTATTTTTAATACTCGTATTTATCAATTATTTATTAGTAGGGTAATATAGGGGATTTTAGTTCCCCCCACTTCACCCACCCACCACACCCCATGTAGTCTATTTGAAGAGGTGTGGTGGGGAGGAATAAATCCAACGTAAACTAACCTAAAATTTATGTTGTTTATAGGCTAATAAAAAAGTCATTTTCAAGATAAAGTTATTTATTATTATTTTTAAACATTTGATTGTTTTCTTTTATCTGGTATTCTTGAAATTATGAGCCTATATATATAACCAGCTAAAATTTCGCTTTCCAAGATTGTATATTATCTGGTAATTGAAAAGTTTAGATCATAACCGAATCAACTGTCGTTCGTTGTTCATGAATTTCATATTCAACAATTTTCTTATATTTTATACTTACGTTTCTAATTATACAACTTAAAAAAGTTTAGATTTAAATATTAAAAAAAAAAAAAAAAATTTCAACATCTCAAATGAACCTTCGTGATACAAATAAAATTTATTTAATTGGTTATATGTCAAATCAAATCGTCGGCAGTAAGTCGCCATCAAATAAACAAGGTCTATGTGTTCTTTTTTATAACATGCGCGTGGTTTATTTAAATGTTCACGATAGTGCTTCATTAATGTACAATGAAATCGAAATATTTTGTGCAAAAAGCCAACGAAAGAATACCTATTAAAAAAAATGTCACTCCGTTAAAAAAATTGAATCATTATACAATGAATGGAGAAAATTACAAAAACATGTGACTAGAAAGTCAGACATAAGAAATGAAGAGGACTTTGTCAATAAGCTTGATGACTTATTTGATATCGCTTATTCTTACGCTTTAAAATTAATTAAAATTGAAATTGATAAACAATTTTTATTGGCTCAGAGGGAAAAAGGTAGGTCAGGCTGTATGTTAGGTGTCGATAAATGCAATGAAAAATGTAAAATAAATCAACAAAATAAAAATTTAAATATAATCCAAAGAAAAAGAAAAGCATACGATGAAATGGAAGTTTTAGGTAATTAAAAAAATATCTTAAAATATTTCCAAAGTAGTAAGTCAACGTGTTTATTATTATAGATCATGTCGTTAACTCAAAAATATTATGTTCATCTTCAAACAGTTCTAGTAAGTGTGATAAGACCGAAGAATTAATTGAAAAACCTAATCTTCCCCAACTTAGAGGTAAAAAAAATATTTTAACCGACAAACTTGCTGCTGCATTTGATAGGTGTAAAATAATCCACAGTGACGCTGTTCATATATTAATGGCAACCGCGGAATCGTTCGGTCTCGATACATCTGAATTAATTATAAATAAGACCTCAATTAATAATTTTCGAAAACGTTTCCGTGAAAACCAAATGAATAAAATAAGTAGTAATTTTATTTTATTGACATTAGGTCAATGCACCATTCATTGGGATGGAATACTTTTTCCTTCATTATCAGAACATCAGCTAGTTGAAAGATTACCAATATTTATGTCAAATAATAATATAGAACAATTACTCGATGTGCCTAAAATTTCTTCTGGTTCGGGACAAAGTCAAGCAGTAGCTATCTACGCAGTACTTGATAAATGGGGTATAACTGACAAAGTTAAATCATTATGCTGTGACACTACTGCTTCTAATACAGGTAGACTATAAGATGCCTGCATATTAGTTGGTCGTGACTTTGGATTAGTAAGCCTAGATATATCTGCTGTTAACAACAAATCTATCCCGATCATACCTTGTGAAAAGGTTGCTAACTTGTCATAGGATCCTATGATCCATTTAAACCGTTATTTTCAGTGACGACCGAAACTAAAGGGATATCCTCTATGGAAAACATAGAATGCACTCTCAAGGAACGGTCAACATCTGAGAATGATGATGATGAATAAGCACATCCACTTCTTGATACTGATGAATTAAAAAATAATATTGATTGCCAAATTGGCAATAGTTCTAATTATTATAAAAGCCCAATAGACCTGACCATCGTGGTCAGTCGACTCTAGTGCCTTGTGTCATTCATCAGTCTCAGTACTCGGTTGCCGCTGTCCGGCTTACTGCTTAAAGTAAAGTTTCTGTTTTTTCCTTTTTAACCTATCTACTCTCTTCCACAACATTTCAGAGTACTTGTGTCTTGCACTTCGTCTGTACCTCATACCTAGGTGTTACCCTGATTCCCTTCCTATAACAACAGCCTTTCGACACCCACAGCTAACCCGGAGTGTCAGCCGAGCTCGCTGACTGCTGTACGACAACACGCACGTGAATACCTAGACAGCAGGCACAACATGCTTATATTCATCTTCGCATCACAATCTCAATTACTTTTACTCTTGTTTTCTTTTATTGTGTTATGACAAAATGTTAGGGCGTGGTATTTTATATTTACCATGTAGACATCACATTTATGAAATTATATTGAAAAGAGTTTTTGAAGTAAAATTTAATACGTCATCTGGACCAGATGTTCCTATTTTCAATAAATTCCAAAAGTCTTGGCAAAATATAAATATAACAAATTACTTAAGTGGAATAGAAGATACTGTTATTTTAGAAAAACTAAAAACAAAAAAAGACGATACTTTGAAATTTAGTTTTGAACAATTACAAAAATACCAACCTCGAAATGACTATAAAGAACTTTTAGAATTGGTCATCATATTTTTTGGTGAAACAACTTTAAATGGAATTTATTTTAAAATTCCTGGCCCAATCCATCATGATCGTTGGATGGCCAAAGCCATTTATTGTTTAAAATTTTTTTTGTTTTGAGGCCAATTTGAATTGTCAATCAAAGAGTTCAATAATATTCGTTCATTATGTATTTTTATTACAAGTTTATATATTAAACAATCAGTGGCGTATTTTGGGGGGGGGTGTCCTCCATGTCTGGACACCCCCCGACTTAAAAAAATGCCTAATATATTGGTATTGACTTTTTTTATAATATACTATATTTATTTACTATAAAATAAATGGTATTTTAAATAAATAACAAAATTGAAGATAATTTGATAGGATTCAACGACACGTATTTATCTACATTTTATCAGAGATTTCTAGAAATTATTTGGATTTCATTGGGTTATTTAGATAACAAAAATACTCGTAGCAAAAATATAATAAAAACGGAAATATTCTGAACTTGTAGTTCATTTTTAAATTTATTTTATAGTTTATCAGTTTAGAGAATTATAAACAAATAAGTTTAGTTACCCCTATTCAATATACCGCATTCATAAAAAATACAAAAAAGAATTTTTTATAATTAAAATAGTATTTAAAAAATAAACAAAAGTTATGAAATTCTTCATGAATCGTCATTTAGTAAAATTAAAATTAAGTTGTTAAGATAGTAGATACGCTTGTTAATTTGAAAATTTATAATTGGCTGACTTTTTAACTTAATTGTATCCATAACTGTATATTATAATATTTGTATATTCACATAACAAGAACAATAAATTATTTCAGTTAAGATAAATTTATATTAAATTTGAATTTCTTAAATGAAATGTTACAAAGAAAAATAAGATTAAAATAAAATAACAAATCAACAATTAAACAAAGAAAAAGTAAAAAAATGTTTGGTGGTATACAAATAAAAATTTCAATTTATAGTAAATATTAAGAAAATTGATATAAAATACAAAAATAAAATTTCATTCATAAAAATATTAATTGAATATCTCGCCAGCAATAATTTCATTTTTGTGTCTTAATCTTATAAAACGCATAAAATTTGCATTTATTGGTGTTATATCTCCTCGAGACATTTTTTCTGCCAGGTCAACAGTAAATGGCCCACAATCATGTCCATTGGTTTGGCGAGATGTCTCGCCTATTTGTAATGTCCATGTAGAAGCTTTTCCTTTTTTGTCCATCTCCCATTCAATTAAGAAATTTTTTAATACCATTGGATANCATCTCCCATTCAAATAAGAAATTTTTTAATACTATTGGATAGTGACCCTCATACGACTTAAGACTATCATATGATGTCACAGTCTTTTCGGGTATATTAACCACTGTCAATATCCAATGACTTTCATATACATTTATGGGCACAAATAGTAATTTTATTGTGTGAATATCTTTTTTTATCCATCTTCTTACAGCTGGATATCCTCCTCGAAGATACGCTACAAAAAAATCAGTGACAACTGCATAAACTTCACCTTCTGACCACTTTACTATCATTTTAATGTACTCATTAATTGTGTCTGAAGTATACCATGATGTGGGCGATTTAAATGAGGGTGCATTATACTGATCAAGAGATTTTGTGTTCTGATCTTGCATTACTTCTGCAAGTGTAACCATATTTAAACATTTTTCATAAAATTAATAAAAGACTTTGTTGAACAAATACTATTATTATGGTTTATTTAAGGTTTTGAAATATGAAATTAAACACGTATAATTACTTTTGTTTAAAACGTCCATGGACCCCCTTAATGACACGCCTCTGCAGAAGTTATATTAATTAATGTATAACTCGTATTATATAATTAATTATGTTTAATAAATAATCTTTTTTTATATAATTTTACATAAAAAACGGTAGCACAGTGGGGTCGAGGCACAGTGTAGACGAGGCATATATGGGACAAGTATAGATGATATCTGACAGTGA